CATGTCACTTTAGTAAAGTGCAGCTTCTACATTGTGACAGCAATGTTCTCCCTGGCTTAAAGTGACTTGATATTATTAATGAGAGATATGTGTGAGAGAGTACAGGCCAACAACTTATTTGCAATGGTTTAAATACTACCAGGCACTTTTTGTGAAATACCCGAAGACCTAAATCTTTAAAAACAAGTTGTACATTATAGTTTTACTTTTCTAAAACGACTAAGATCATCCCTGAAAAGATTAAGCATGATAGATTTTTAAAAGCATTTACTGGGCAGTACTTTCAGGGATGGATTAACACATATCTGGCACTCTATTTAACAGTTACCATTTCAAGACAATTTTTATCTCGGGCTACTGATGACCAAAGGATGATGCTTTTCTCTACTACGCAATAGCATGTTTTCTAGCCCACTCCTCTGTTACAGACATTATACAGTCCATTTAGATGCAGATTGTACTCTGTAAAGTGAAGGGTAAGTGACACTTCAGCTGTAAAGAAAAAACTGTGAAATTCATGCAACACCAAAGGTGGTGAGGCGCAACTTAGCTAAGCAACTTTTGTGAAATGGATAAACGAGGAGCTAAAAAAAGAGAATCAGGGTGATTCTGTGCAGAGCAGGAGCGAGGAAAGAAAGCGGCGTGCAGGTTTCCTCTGCAAAGCGTGTGTGTGTGTGTGTGTGTGTGTGTGTGTGTGAGAGAGAGAAAGAGAGAGAGATGACACAAAATGAGGTGCAAGAAAAAGCCTACACTCTGCATTGTACTGAGAACAAAATAATAATAACAGCAGTGACTGGAGGCAGGAAAATCCAATTACAATAGCTATTACTCCCTCTACTGGTGAACAGCCAAGAGGGACAATAGAGGTGATTTTCCCCAATTTTCCTCAGAGTTTCACCCTTTGCCCTTTTCAGTGTGAAAGCAAGTACTGAAACTCAAGCTCTGTAGTAGATGCTGATTATCCTGCGAACTGAATGCCGATGAATGCAGGCCTCTGTCGAAAACGAAGCACTGTAAACTAGTTTAGACAGACCTGACCTGCTCCTTGGTGAGAAGGTAATTTATCCTCAGAGTCAGCACAATGGTCCTGATAAATCTTTTCAAATGGCTGAAATCTGAACCGCTGCTGAATAGGACTGGATCACTCTTAAGAATTTTTTTTTACCTTATAATACACAACCTGGAATAATCCTACTTCAGAGACGCATTCACGACTGAAGCTCCCAGCAGCACCTACACCCTTTTTTTTATTTAACCTCCCAAATTGAGCACCTTAGTGATATTCTATTTAAATGTACTGTGTTTACTGCAGTATGAGGCCTGCATCATGGGATCATCTGATGTATTTGATCCCTTACGTGGCAGATAATGTCACCCCCTGGAGGTTCGTGACATTATCTGACACACGCGCGCGCACGCAAACGCTTCCACTCAGCTGGTATTCATCACCAGGGGAGGGGGGACAGAAAACAATCACCTCTTACTATGCATATGCATTATGCAAATGGTGTCATCAGGTTCATGCAAGCGGGGAAGAAAGCAGACTTCAGATTGTGGGTGTCTATAAGTAGTTTTATGTAAGCCTGTAGAAGTCCGTTTATCCACGAGTGAACGTGAACGTGAGTTTTGCTAGCGCTGAGTCGTGGGAGGCGGTTGCACAACAAGCAGGACTTCAACTGACGCGAGAATTTAAATCAATAAGAAGAGCAGTTTATTGCTTCTAAATAGATGAATATCATAGTGCCTTTCCTTGTTTTATCGTTCTAGTTTGTTGCTTTCTTATTATTATTAACACCGTTTATAATTTGACGGCTAACTTCTTCCGGAATATTCATAGCGCTCCGCAGTGGGAAGCACATAAGACACCTGCAAGAAGTTAAAAAAACAAAACAAAAGCACAGCTGATCTCACCTGGTGAAAATATCTCCTCCGACGAAGAGCAGAGCGAGACTCGAAAACAGGAAAGTTGGGATCTCCATTCCACACGCTGTCAGATTAATATATGCGTAATGCTAAGAGAAAAGTTCCCCCGCAATGTAATTCGACGACAAAGCCCACAAGAGGATTTTTTGTTAGCTTTTTTTGTTTGTTTTTTAGTTATTATTATTTTAGTGCGCTCTCCTCCCGATCCAGCGCCGGGGAGAACAAAGTAAAGTGTGGTGGTGAAGGTGATGGTGACCCCATGGTCGTGAGCTCCCCGATTCCTCCGCGTCCAGGAGCGCACAAGAGAAGAGCGCGCCTATGAAAAAGATGAAGACAAAACTCCGGGTCCGACCGAAACAAGGAGCCGATCCACCGCCTGACATCCACCAACAGCGCAGAAAGCGAGTGAGAGAGAAAAGGATGGAGAGAGGCAGAGGGAGAGAAAGAGAGGGAGGGTGGGAGAGAGGGAGGGAGACTCGCTAATCTGTCGATCCCTCCGTCGCTTGGCCTCTAAACGTCAGATTGAATCTGGACACAGAAGGCGGGGGTGGGTGGGGGGTGGCAGGAATGGCATCATAAGCAAAGGACTTCAATATATTATGTAATGTTTGACACATTTGACTCATCTCCATTAGGTAATTAGTGGCTCACATAAAGTTGTGATTCTTTCTGTTGGAATAAGATCAAACTGGGAGGGGGGCTGCCCAAAGTGTGCGCAGAGGTCCTTTCTATGGAGGTGGACAATAGTGTCGCTAGTATTGTTACCGAGTCGATACTAGCGCGATAGGACCGATACTTTGTTTTTGTTTTTTCTTTTCTAAGTTCAGCATGAAGCCCACTCAACTGTCTTAAATAAATTATTTATTCTTTTTTAAATGTAATTAATGTTTTTCTTGGAAATGAACCTCAAACGTGCACTATGAAAAATGTCTGAAACTTTTTGTGTTGACTGTCATGTCTATTTTAGCCTGTAGCACATAAGCTGAACTAACATGCTTTAGAGACAGATACTTTAACATTCCAGGTCTCCAAAAACAAAAACGGTTTTAAAAAATGAGCTCACAAATCATGACCCATGCTCTCCTCTACACAAGCTGCCTTTATAGCTTAAATATATTGGTATAGGCAATAGACTCTGTACTTACTTGGTATCGGACCAACACCAAAATTTGGGGCCTTCCATCAATTCGCTCAGCATATTGAATTTATGGTGAGTATTGCCTCTCTAACTGTGAAATTTAAAAATAAAAGACATATTTTATGTATAGGAGTGACAAAAACAAAATGCATGTACTAATGCATAAAAGAACAACTGTTTAGTTTAATCTTGTAATGTCCTCCTTCGCAGTGTAAACGTAATCACAGACTGTGTTTGTTGTGTTGCAAACCCAGCTGTTAAAAGCCTTATAGAGTGGATCTGGAATATGCCCTCCAAAACCTGGTTGCATGTGTTGCTAGGTTTTTGTGAAATAAGCCTACAGTATGTACACTTTTACATCCACGCCTCCACCCCAGACTGTTATATAATTCTTTTCTAAAGCACATGCAGATCAGACTGTTTCTCAGGGATCAAACATTTTCTGGTGTATGAGATCAAAGGCCACAGTTTCACGAGATTTAGCCTCTAAAGGAACTGAATAGAGATTAGATAAGACATCAGTACAGTAAGTTGACAGAAAAGTCATATTAGAGAATACAGGGATGGGAGGGATGAGGATTCCTACACTGGCACTCCTCATGTCTTGCTCCTCCTCTACTTTCCTGTCATACCTACTTTCGAGTAACGGATTTCTAAAAATTCCTGGAAAAACACTCATTATGTCTCATTAAGCAAAGCAGCAACTGCGAATATGGTCAGGCAAAGCAGATTCGAATGTGATGCAGTAATCCTCACCATGCAGACAAAACAGAAACAATGCTGTTTAAGAGGATAATATATACATCAAATACAAGTTAATGAAGTTGAACTAGTCATTAGTCTCTTTCTGAATCTGGTTGATACATTTTTCCTGAAGTGTGGTTGTTTTTGTTCTGTGAGTCCACTTTTCCAAAGTTTTGTAACTCAATTATTTTTCAAGCTCTCTCCATTAGATGGGTGCTTATATTTATTGTCAACCGCACCATAAAGGTCAGCATGGCCAGGGGCTGTAGATTCACTCCACCCTCCTGGCCACCCCTTCTCTTGGAGTTGGACAGTAAGGGCTTTTGATGTGGAAAATGTTAGGTTGTCGTACACACTACAGTGCATTTAACAGGACTGCATTTGTTGGATTCCTCATCCACAAACTCCTCCTTTTTCCTGTTAGGCTCCTTTTTTCACCATCATGTATTCTCTCTCTTATCTTTCTGTTTTTCTCCAGCTGATCCCTCCTTAATATCGGCCGAGCTCCTTTTTCTACTCAAGTCACTTTTCTTCCCTTTATCTCAAAAAACAAAACAAAAAAAGTCTCCCTCCCATTCCTCACAGTCACGCATCCTCACACTATTTATTTACCAGGCCTTCTATGGTAATACAACTTATTCCTCTAGGCCTGTCACATGACTTCAGTGTGATATACAGTAAGAACACACATTTCTCCTTCCTCTTGTGAATTCCACTTCAAAATTATGATGAGCTCGATGAAAGCTTAATAATGGCAAAAAGAAAAAGAAGCCTTGTGATGGTCCAATAACCCACCAATCTACTAGAAAATGCACGCCTGTTTCCCGTGGGGTTGTGCATGCTTGACAAAAGACTTTGCATAACACAGACATATCATTCTCTCTAAATCAGCTGAGATGTTTTGTGCTCTCTGGCTTCTTGACTGTTGTCAGGCCAGAGAAAAAAAGACGGTGAATGGCAATGTGCAATGTTGTAAGAACGAAAGAAAGTCATTTTAGATATTAAAACCTTTACATTTTTATATTTCGTGTTGAATTAAAGTCTTATAATGTCTGTCACAGTTTGCCATGTCATTACCGTACAACGACAGACTTTTCTTTTGGATCATTTCGACAGGTAAATCGATTTTTGATGCTGTCGGTACTATTTTGCCACCAACGGTTAATTTCTGTCGCACCTGCAAGGTTTCAGCGGGCAGTACGACTCCGCCCCTCGCGTCACGTTTCCTTGGAAACACCAGCAAACATGGCTGCTTTGAGAAAAAGTGATGTTGAGAAGCCGTTTTTATAAGAGGAAAGACGAGCTACAAAAGGTAACCGTTTTTTTAATGTTTTGTTTTTATCGTAAGAGTGACACAGAGCAAACACTGTATTATTATTATTATTTGCTTTAGCTGACCCCACTTTCTTGCTTTTCAAGCTAGCTCAACTCGAATAAAAGACACATCAGTTTTCTTTTAGGATTATTCTGATTGAATGTTATGGTGGTTGGGACAAATGTCACACTGGCACTACGGAAATATAACCTAACCCTACTAAACCGCCAAAAAGAGCCGCTTAAAACTACATTTAAATTTCAGCAATAGTGGCCAGTTTTTAATATTAATTTATTTTCCTGTTGCGTGAAAGAACTGGCTCTCCGTCATTGAATGACTTCACCTGGATTTAACAGATTTGCTATGTCTATTTCTGTATGCCGCTATCATTAAGGCTTGCTCGGTAATGTAGTCCTGTGCCCTTCATACGTAAGGTGACATGGAGGTAGAAGACAGGAGAAGCCCCGCAGAGGTGAAGCCTGACAGGTGTGGACAGCTGGATGTCCACCTCAGTCCAGGTGAGTCCAGGAGAGTAAAGGTAAATACCAGATCCTGCTGCTTCAGGAAAAAAAAGCCTTTAAGTCTCACAGATATACATTACTTTATCCATAACTACACCTATAGTTTAAGCTTAAATTTCAAAACTTACATTTAACTACTGATTTTATCTACTGTTCTGATTTTATCTGTTTTGATTTTATATACTGTTGTTTGTTTGTTTGTTTGTTTGTTAATTAGTTAGTTAGTTTATTTGCTTGTTTTAATCAATTTTAAATCATGCTAATGTCTCTGTAAAGCACTTTGAATCACCTTGTTGTTGAATTGTGCTATACAAATAAACTTGCCTTGCCTTGCCTATATAAAACAGCCCTTTTTTAGCTTGAGACTGAGATATGCTGATTTATTTCAGATGATCCAAGTGATGAAACCTTTAAAGCCGAAGAGTCAGATGTGCCTGCTGATTTGGACTGGTTAGAAGAATTGTCTGAGTGGGTGTTTGCTATTTTGTATTTTTATTTTTTGAGAACTATTAGGCAGTTAAATCCAAATGGCAGTGTGTCTTGTATTCAAAACCACGGTGCTTGTTTCGGTCAGATATTGTTATACAAAGCAATAAAGTTCAATTTCTGTTTTTTATTTCAGCATCTGTTGAAAGTCTGTTACATCATATACTTCCATACATGAAAGACAGTCTGTGAATAATAGTGTGTGTATCTAAGTGTTTGCATCACATAAGGAGCCTTTTCTAAATGTAATTCTGCATCTGCCCCAAGAGAGGATGATGGTGTTGACGATGGTGACCTTGCGGCTATGGCTGATGGTTGTAAGAAGAGGAGTTATGCCGAGACAGCACGGATGTTCAAGCTGAGACGAAACCTCGACCAGCTGGACTGCTTTCACCGACAGAAGGAGCATGACGTGCTGAAAGCCAGGTCTGAACCTGGCACCGACAGACCTCTAGAGCTACAGAAGCTCCTTACCTACATTTTGTGAACCTTTCTAGACTCCACACAAACCAGTACCAGTAGAAAAGCTTTTTTATGAGAATTTTTTTTAAAAATACACAGGCTTTTGCCCAGTCTTTTCAAAAATGTTCCCCTGTTTTATTCCATTTTTTTCTGCTCCTGCCCTTTTCACACAAGGCCAATCATATCTGTTCCAACTGATTCGGCAATTTGTAGAAAATGATTTCAGCCGAGGACAGAACATTTCTTATAATGTCCTTTCTCCCCACTTTCCTTCCGTCTTTTTATTTGTCTGGACCATGAGCCATTGAGCACCTGATGAACTGTGATGCAGTTCCATGGAAAATGTCTGTCATCTTCCTTTAGCAC